TCGTAACACGTCGAAGGAAGGTAAGGTCGCGCGCGTTTCGCGGAAGACGCATATTATCCGGCGAACGAGCGCGGATGAGTCGTGGAAAGCGCGAGATGCCGTAATAGCGTTGGCGTAACGTTAAGCGAGGTGCACGCGATCGTGCGCTTCTTGATAATGTGGATCGAGAGAAGCATAATCTGACCGTACCGATCGTTACCGCTATCTCGGTTACCGTTACATCGCGGTGCTGTTGATTAATAACGTATCTTCGCGGAGTGTGAATTATTTCGCGACCGCGTGCGAATTAGCGTGGAAGCGAATTTTCGACGATGAAATCCCGCCCCCCGCTCGATTCGAGAAAGTTCCAAACGAACGGAACAGTCATAAGTAACACACGAAGTATATAAATAATTAATTGTATTCTTTAAATTTGTCGAAGAGTGAAATTTTACTCGAAAGGGCAAAATAAGCACGACGATTCAACGACAGATGGTCATTTGCGAAATTATAATTAATGTACGCGAATTTTCGGAAGAGAAATTTGTTCCATTCGAAGAACTTGAAATGAGCAAAGTTACAAGCGGTTTGAATTATGCTCCCTAAATATCTCGGGGACGAAATTCCGTTCATTTTCATCGGCGACAGAACAGAATTATAAGCAATGACGAGCACGACCGTATTTTTTCTCCTCGTGCGAAACAAGTCGTTGGATCATCGAGCGATCTTCACAGCGAATTGACACATACAAACACACGTTATTATCTTCTCGAGGTTTTTCACCTTCGGTTGCTTTCTGTACGCTTTACTACCACTGACACAATAAACAGAGGTATTTTTCACACACACACACACACACACACATACATTTGACTCGATAAACAGAGAGATACATTTTGAAAGCGGAAAAAAAAGAATGAAAGAGAGGGGCAAGTCACTCGTACTAGAAAATTAGTAATCCTAAAGCAACGACACGATTAGATCTTCGTTAATTCTTTGCAATTTTCGAGAAAAGAATCTTCGAAGAACTTTCACGAGAAGTAGGTCAAACCGCGCCGGCTCCCCGTCGTGCCTACCGATGAAAAGCCGCTCGGGTCTGAAAACCGCGGGTGTTGTCGAAGTGAATTACTCGCGACAATTCAACTTGAATCGCAGACCGATAAGCCGATTTTCCTTCGTCTCGCAAAGGTTCGCCGAACACGCGGAGAAAATGGCACGAGGTGAGTGTTTGGCTCGCTAGTTGATACGAGCAATGACTCATAGATGCGATACGTTGCGACCCTGAGAATATTAGTCTGTCATTATCCGCGTTATATTTTATTTCATAGCCGTACGTGCGATCGTTTTGCGTACGTTTTGCGTACGTGTGTGGTTACCATTTGTATTCGTCCGTCGCTGTCTCCTTTATCTCATTAGTCATCATCTGTTACTCACTCTGAAGACTTCTCGAAATTTACGAGACCTTTTCTATCCAAATCTCCATGGCGTTATCACACACCGGCATTAATAAACGATTTACACGGGCATTAATAAACGATTAAGAGTCTTTATTGACCGAGATGATCGACAGACCAATAATCGAAATTAACCAATCGCGTCATGCAAGCAATAATTTAGCAATGATTTGGTAGATTTGGTAGATTGGTGAAATTAAGTATCAATCGATATACAATCAGTAAGATTAAAGTAATCGATGAAACAATATTCATACGTAACCTCGATTTATTCAATTTTAATTTTGATCATCCCAGTCATTTAGAATTTCAATCGACTAAAATCATCCGCAAATCTGCAATGAAAATTAATCAATCGTCATATACCCGTCATATAATCGTATGTGAGTAATTTAATCGGTTGAAATTATTGTATGTAATCATAATTTACTTGATTTTCATTTCGATCACTTCGGTTGTCTAGAATCGTGCAATCGAAATCATCGGCAAGTCGCGGCAACTAGAAATTATTAATCAGGGTCGTCGCATATATATATATATATATATAATTACGATTAATTTGATCGATTGACGAAATTAATTGTTCACGAGTGTATGATCAGCGAAGTCAAAGTACTCGGTGAAATAATCGTGAAACATACACGGCCCACCGATGCTGATCGACGATTCATCGCGAGGCTAAATTTTCGTCATTAATTTTCGGATATCGGCAGGGGAATTCGGCCGAGCGGCGGGCGCGAGCGAGGAGCGTGATGCAATCGAGGAATTAAAGTTATTTATAAAGCACGCCCTCCCCCCGGCGACGTGACAGTAAAACGAGGTCGTGCTGGTTGAGCGAAAGTATCTCCGTTGTCGCCGCAGCACCGAGGCCATTTTGCTGCATCCAGCAACCAGCGCTCGCTTACGTTAACACAGGTGTTCGAGCGTACAGGTGATGCGTGACACGCCGCAGGCGCGACGCCACGCGGATGTGGCTGTTGGAACGAGACATTCCGTTCGCGCATTCCGAATTCGAAGTGCACCGGGGCGGCGTGGAAAAAAATACCGGCCGCCCCGCGCTGCGACAGGAGGAGCCTCCGCGGAGGCTCTCTCCACATGGTGAACGGCGGCGGTCGGTCGTTCTCGAGTTCCTTCTGCTTTCACGATCGCGATGTTCCCGCTAAGGAAAACACGACTTCAAGTCATGATCGAAACGTTAGAACATCAACTAGGGCGGAGGGGGGAGGTGGGGGGAGGGAGGTGGTGGTGCGAAGAAACAGTTAGATGAGAGGGGAATTGCGCTGGACGTATGGGCGAGAAGAGTTCCCTAAGTTTCGGCTTTGCAGGACCAGTCGCGCGCCTCTTTCGTCAATTCTCCCAAAATCCTCTTGGTCCCGATGATCGCGTCGCGTTATTCGCGAGATTACTTATTACATCGATTCGTTCGTTAGATCGAATTGAACGTATTGTCTTGCCGAGGAATTTTTACCCCGATGATTTAATCGGAAATTCACCTGGTCGTCGAGGTGACTTCGGTAACTGAATTCAATAACTTGTACGATGAGTTAAGCTTACGAAAATGCAACACACGAGTCTTCTCGCAATGCTTGCAGCATTACGATAGTGCCTCCCCGAGGCGTACCGTTCGAGCACCGCTAAGCGCGATCTGCCAATCACGTCGGATGCGTGGGCGAGACGTCGAGAAAATTCCAGAGGAGACCGAGAGAGAGAGAGAGAGAGAGAGAGAGAGAGAGAGAGAGAGAGAGAGAGAGAGAGAGAGAGAGAGTGAGAGAGAGAGAGAACCGAGTCGACGGGACTGAATCGCGCGCGAGCGTGTCGCGTTAATTATTATTTAATTAAGTCACACAGCCGCACGGCACGCGGGCGCGCGATACGCGCTCACGAGTCACTCCGAACTTACGACGCTACGTTATCACTGTACAAGTTAGTTGTTTAAGTAATCTTACATTATCGAGCCGGTGTTCACAGTCCATCGTGAGCATAATCTATTCACGTGCGGAATTGTTTACGAGCCACCCTTACATACACACACACACACACACACACACTAGGAAAAATGTATTGGTGCGTGAACCAAAATTTTGTTGCAACAACAAAATAATTTGGTTAAAATATGCCCGACAAAACTGTTTAGTTCCTGTCGAACATATATCTTGTTCGATTACGGTTTATTCGGGATTTATATTAAACTCTACGGCCGATCTTCCCGAGATCGAAGTTTGATGTTTCAAATACGCAATTCTCTAAGCGGAAAACTCGAAACTTCCCGATTTTCATTCTCCGTTCTGCATTCGATTTTTTTTCTACTTTTTTCTATTGAATACAATTGGTGTAAAAATGGAATGCAATCGGATAACCCCTTCTAGCTCCGCATAGAAGGAAGCTTAGAGCGTTCCAGATATTTCGTTCAACATAAATATAAATATAAAGTAGAAAAGGGAAAAGAGAAACGTTTTTGTTTTCGACAAAGAAACGTTCGACAAAGAAAATAGGATCGGTTTCCCACTTAGAATCGCAATTTATTTATTTGGGCAAATTAAAATGAATGCCAAACAGGTTCCTGAAAATTTTCTATGCGAATTATCATCCGCATTTGCATCTGGAAAAATCCTAGGAATTCTCTGCGCGGGTTATCGAGTTTCCATTGAGATGTAGTCGTTAATGAAATATTAGTTGATTCATAGCTTGAGACTTAATGATTCAAGTATTATCGAGAAATAAAAATTATTACGCACGTCAATAATCATAATTATCCTGCGACTGTGGTTATTCAACGAACAACAGCAGACTGTGAACACCGCCTTCGGAAAAACTCGCTTTAACACGCGAGTTGCACTTACGAGAGACAAAAAACGGCGATCTCGACTCTCGACCGCGCGTTACGTCAGCCCGCCAGTTAACAAGGTACTTCGTGAAAAATCGCTCGTAAAAAACGTGAAAAATCGTACGAAACACCTCAGCGCGCATTCATAGAAATAGAGGAGAAGGTAGCCACGTCACGTTTCATACGTACAGGCCTCGGCCACATCCTTCTCGCATTTTCCTGCCAAGAATCACATTCGAGAAGCGCAGATTCGTCCGAGGCTCCGGCGAATGATCTTTTCCTCAACGTTCCTCGCGCTCCTCCGACAACTGTTTTCCTTCATCATTGTACAAAAAGTCGATCCATGTACTACAGAGAAAAAACTGTCGCAACGCACTCTACAAAGTTAACGAGTGAAAACCTCAGGTCGCCCGTTCTCCGTTTTTGCAAAAAAAAAAAAAAAAAAGAAATACAAATACACGTCGCTTAACAATCATTATGATATATTGTGATATAAATATCTTCAAATTTTTATCGAACTCGGCTTCCGAAATCGGAAGTTTGGTCGCAAGTCGACGATGATGTAACTCTACGTGCATTCTTACCGCAATTGAATGCCTATCGGAATCGCAATCACGCCTCAAAATGAGCTCTCGCGTTTGGTTCTGAGCTGAGCAGCCTCCGGGCTCGGCGTCATTGCCGGATTATCGTAGGCGTAGTCGAGAGTGGTGTCCTCACTGGGATGCCTCCGCGAGAGAGAGGTGCTCGTGGTCTCCGGTGTATCGTTATTATTCCGGTGCTCCTATTTATGTCCACCGTGGCGCTTATAGTCGGCATGCTTAGCTTCAGGCCATTCTGTTTAGTCGCGTTAGCCTCGACGTCGTCTTGCACTTTATTTTATTTGCTGCCTTCTGAAACGATGACGGAATTGTGACAAAGTGCTGATGCGCGAGAAAACTCCCGTGAATTTATTGGCACGTGGTTTATTTATTCGTATCCTTGTGGGATTAGAAACACCGAGAAACACGGAGAAACTACTCTCCTTTTGATTTCTTAAATTACTTACCGATTCAGAGAATGTTGCGCGTTTACTAACGAGCAAATTTCGTTGGATTTATTCAATCTGGACTATTCGATAACCGATTGTAATTTATCGCGAATGTAACTCGAACGCGCAATCTGGAGTTTCTTTTTAATTCAACCGACGTGTTCTTAATGCTATTATTTAACGTTAAACTCGGCTTATTCTCGCGTACTGATCCGGGCCGAAGCAAATCCGAGATCAAAGAGCGCGATAGGGGAACTTGTCAACGGGAATGATGGGTGTTTTTCGAAGGGTACCGCCCTCGCAGGTCGACTCACCTTCGCCCAATTCTTCCTGAATAGCGCTCGCAAGGTGTTTTGAATCTTTTCCCACCGTATTAGAGTCCTTCCCAACAGGTACAGTACCCCGCATAACGACAGACAGGTCAACGTCGTTGCGACCGTGAACATAATCCGTAGCCTTTCCACTTCGTCTGCAACAGAATAGATCGGAGGGGTAAATAGAGGAGGGATAAATAGAGGAGAAATGGTCGGCTGGCCGGCCGACGATAGATCCGATTGATGTGTAAAAATTCCGACGGTCAAAATTATTGTAAGCTGCACGAAGGAAGAAGAGCGGTGGATAATGGAAACGAGACGTTTTACTTGTGTGGCAAATGGAATCTCTGGCTCTCACAACTGTACTCGGGTCATACGCGAAGAAAACAATCCCGTTACTGCGACCGAATTTTCCTTCGCATGGCAAGAGTGGGGAGAGCTCACTTTAGAAACAAAAAGATTACCGCGGGCGGTTCAAGTCAGCTGTCTCCTTCCTTATCTGAATCGAGTTTTCCGATTCCGTCATCGATTGAGACATTCACCCTTCGCCGAATCTTTTCGATCGCGCTGACAGAAATATCTCTCGTCACCGGATTTTCATGCAGTCTCCGTTTAGTCAGGCGAACGGAGATTTTCCTTCCTAAGAGTAAGAAGCAGAAACTCTGTGTTTGCAACTCAAGCATTTCGTTCGTTCATTATGTCAATTCAAGCGATCTTTTCTCTCCGTGTGCGTAATATCGAAACTATCGTTACATTTACAGATCGAGAACAGACGAATGCAGGGCGTTTGAAAGTGCGTTTTAATTAACAAGGTATCCGAGATATCGATCGTCTTTGCGATAATGCTTCGTAACTTTCGTTTCGCTGCGCCTTCGAACGTGCGCGGGCATCTCTGAAGATCATTCCCGTTCAAGAGGAGAAAGTTGTTGCTTCAGTCGCTTGTTACATTCCGCGGCGATATCGCGGCGCATCAGGCGAAAGAAGTCACTCCGTATATCGAAATGAACAAAAAAACGCCGACGCTCTCTCGGCCGACTCTCTAATTACAGATTGCGTAAATTAACGGATACGCGAGACGGCGTTAAAGTATCGAGGTCTGGGAATTTCATCGGGTTACCCGGAGAACATTATTCGCACAACCAGCTCCCGTAACACGCAGTCATTACTTACGCAGCGCGATTTTCCTTATGAAAATGTTTAACAACTTTTCCCCAGTGAAAACGTGCCGAGAGGAAAGTTTCTTATTTCCGCAGTGATTTTCGGTTTCCAACAAAACACGTCTTTGAGAATCTGAGTAATCCGATTAATATTCTCCTGAAGCAGAACTCACTTGAAACTGACCGAGGAAAATAATTTGTTTCTTCCTTTTTTTTTTTGCAAAAGATAGATAGCGCTTTGTGAACAATGGACGTGAATTATGGGACACCCTGCCTTGCCTCCAGCATGAAACTTGACACTTTTACATATGCATGTACATTGATATGTTTGGTATGTTAAATATGTTAAATATTAAGTGTAAATCTACGCTGCTATATCACGATACCGTCGCTGTCTCGGCGACGATGAAAAAGCGAAGGTGTCGCAGCAACGGCCGTGCGAGAAAATCGCGAATGCGAGCGACGCCTGTCTGTGTGTGAGATCTGCGTCGTTGAAATCTCCAGCTCGCGCGAGAGAAGTCGTCGCTCGCGCTCAAATTATGCGCATCTTCTGCTCACACCTGAACCCACTCACCTCTGAGATCATCGTACTGTTTCGCATCCGTGCGTAGGACGTAGCGTCGATCGTGCAGGTAGACTGAAATCAGAAAGAAAACGTTCACTCACACACACACACACACACATCGATCGGTCGCGAAAACTTGGCCGTTTTCCGAGAGGATTCGCTCCGTCTCCTCCTCTCGGCGGGCAACACCTGCCTGAAACGCATTCACGCCGACGTCACGCACGTTTCATTAATGCTCGAAGCTTGTCAGAGACGTTGACGTAGAAAGCGTTACGCGAAATAGGCATATGGGTTTGGCGACGCCGCAAAGCTCGGCGAGAGATCTCCCCAAGCGTGACTATTACGCTATCGTGCACCGGCTGCATTAAAGGGAAACTCCAGGCCATTGTTCGCGCAACGGAAGGATCCGGGAAGCCGAAACAATTACGCTGTAAACCAGAGCAATTTTCTCCGCTCGACAATATGCAACTGATAACGCGTGCAGAGAGACAGAGAGAGAGAGAGAGAGAGAGAGAGAGAGAGAGAGTGTTAGGCTGAGTGAAGGAATTTTCTGGCAAAATATGGACGATTCAGAAATTCCGGCTTAACCTGTCAAAATTCCGTCAAAATTGTCAAGATTTGACATTCTGCTTCAGACATTCGCAGTAGGATCAGTTGATATTTTTAAATGCTTGGTGTAATATTATTTTTCTTTGTCGTGATATGTTTATCCTTTGATTATCATGAAGCAAAGGGGACTCGCGAGATTCAACTGTTCTTAGATAGACACAAGTGAACACACGCATACGCACTGCTCATGATCTAATCGCTGACGTCTCTCTCGCGCGCGATATAGAAATATTTCGTTCGATCGTTGGGCGTCGCGAAGAAACACAAATCGTCAGAACACCGACGAGTGAATGATACAAGTCCTCACATATTTCTGACTGATCAATCACAAAATTAAAAAATCTCTGCGCGCGCGATTGGTTATACTGGCAAAGGATGAAGAACGAATAATGTGTGCTGGATATTTTTTTTTATACCGCTAACATTGCTGACGACAGGACGGAAGGAAGGAAGGACGGACAAAAATCGAGATATTCATTCCTAATGGCCATTATCTCCAAAGTTTGAATGATCCCAATCGCCGATTAACTGGCGAAATTAGCAACCGAAATTTCGCACTTCTTATTCTTCTCGCTTTCTTCTCCAACAGCAGTTTCAGTTGGAATCCTGCTTACTCGTCCGATTGATCGGACTAATCGGAGTTTGGAGAAAATGGCCGCAAGTGGCCGCACTTTTTCCTCTCGAGTCTGACTCTTGAGGGAAATTGTACCACGAATCGTATCATAAATCAATTCGTCATATATGCAACACATCTCAATACGGCTTACGCGCAGTCGATTCGCCCATGACACCGGTGCACCTCCTCTCATCGTCCTCTTCGGCGCGCTCCGTTTCTTCTTATTCGAGTCATAACGATCTACCTGTCAGAAGGCGCAGGTAGATCGCCTAGCGCGCGCCTGCGTAACAACGGAGAACTTGGTCGCGATAGCAACCTGCGGTGCAAACAATTCCGACCTACGACGGCTGCCTACCTGTAAAAGCGGTCGGCACGTGAGCGCGTGTAATCGCGTGCCCTGGCATGACGGTAAACTCGAGATGACCCCGTTCGGGGCGACGCGGGGGGCAAAATGTTAAATCCAGACCTGGAGGACGACGAGGTCGCGCGTATCGATTCGCGAGCGCCTGGCCGCGAGAACGTTTGATGACGAATTAGACTCGCGAGTAGCGAGGATTTTCGACAACATTTGCTGAATTGAAAGACACGGCGTTGGAACGCCACTTCGCCGTTCACGGCAGCGGCGGAATATTTGTTTTCCTTCTGTTTGCTCTGCGATCTCTGTTTGTCGGGCCATTCGACACACAACTGAGAAAATACGCTGACATGCAGGGAGAAAGAGAGAGGGCGATAACTATTAGCACCTTAAGTATCTTTCAAATATGAAGCATTTGGCTGACACTCGAACTGCCAAGCGGCCAAACGCGAGACCGGTCTGCGATTTCTTCTAAAAGTTGCTCAAATTCATCTTACATTTTTTTACGAATGTCGAGTAAAACGGAAAAAGATAAACGGACATTTTTGCCCTTGCGTAAAACGCATGTTTCTCGAAACGACGTTTCTTCCAACAGCTTTTCGGGAATTTTTCGAAAATCTTCCTGGCGTTTCGACTGCTCCGGCAGAAACGGATTAATCGTCGTTCTGCAATTCTAGTGATAACAGAAGTGATCATCACTAAGTTTAGCGATAACGAAAACAATAATTTCCGTTATCACTAATTCTAGCGACAACAGAAATTAAATTCTAGCGCGGTCGTCCTGTGGCGGTGACATTCTCTCTCTACACTCTGGGCTTTTCTGTATTAATAATTAATGTGTGTATTAATAACAAGGTGATAATAATTATTGCTTCACCCCAATGAGGGGTGAAGCGATAACTCACACAACAATGAGGCAATAAGTTTCCGCGTGCTAAAGATTATTCAAATGTCCCTAAATGTCCTCCTCCGATATTCCTGGCGCTCGTTTCAGGTGGCGCGAATTTTACGTCATATATTGCAACATGTCGACATAAAATAGACATAATTTAATGTCCGCCTACAGGCCTTCATTTTGAGGATTGCTTAATCGAAGCGACGTGTCCCTCGGTCGCTTTGCATACACGAAGAGAACCGCTCGGCCCAGATTCTGCTCTTCCCACACTTTGTCGGGCCGTCAGAATAGTTCTCTATGTTCCTCTCTTTTATTAAAACATCCGCGAGCGCACAGAGTCAACAAGTTCCCCGGCCTGGAATTTGTACATAGGCCCGATCGGAGTTTACCGACAAAACGTAACCGGACACCGTGACGAGAAGTCTCAATGGGGGAACCCGGCGTCCACGGAACTCCATACGGACAATTTCGTAGCGGCTACATAGCGGGAACCCCGGGACCTGTTTCGATGGGGGGAAAGGACGAGGTAGGGAAGGATTTTCATTCTTCGCGCGTCTCGAAGCAAAGAGGAGCGGCTTCTCCTACCTGTCGGAGCACAAAATATTCTCTCCTCCCTCCCGTCTTGCCGCTTCTCGCGCGCGGTACCGATGTTGAGGTCTCAAGCGGCAACGGAGAGAGAGAGAGAGAGAGAGAAGAGAAAAAGAACATCGAAGAAGCGGAAAAGGGAGAGGCCGAAGAAGCTGAGGAGAGGAAAAGGGCGAACAGCGGCTCGAAGGAGGAAGAAAAGAAGCTAGGTGACTCATCGACCATGTTTGCGTGTGGGAAGTCGGTAGGGACAGTCAGGTGTAAAGTCAACGGACTTGAGAGAAGAGAGACCGGGTTGGTTCGCTCGCTCGCCACGCTCGATGGAGGTGGACGATGGCATCGCACTGTGTGTCCGGTTTCCCGTACGACTTGCGTGAAAACGAGGAACCGGAACGGCAGGATGGTTGCACCGCGACATGTGATCGGTCCCGCGTCCGGATAATGGATAGAAACGATTCACGAGATGTAAATCGAGAGAGAGAGAGAGAGAGAGAGAGAGAGAGGGAGATACGTGAAATTTAGCCATCTCCGTACCGAAAAGTGCGTACTGAGTTCGAGTAATAAATGTTGCTCGTTTCACAAGTTTATATAGAAATCTGCGACGAGTTCGTCAGATTTACTCCAAGTATATTTTAAATCCTCGTAAGCTTGACGCTTCAATTGAGAATATTAGATTCAAACAAGAACATTCAGTTGTGACAAAATTCGGTTTGCCTGTATATTATACAGGCAAACCGAATTTTCAAACGTAACAGGTAAAAAATCTCGAAAATTATGAAAGATATTAAAAAAAGCTAAAGCACGCGTTCCATGATTTCGAAGAGGAAAGAGAATAGCATTATCAGTTTTTTATTTGGAGGGCATTTTCAAGATCAGTTGAAGGTCAACTTCATTTTTTAAAATAGAAGGCCCAATTTTTTATTATATCTTCTTTTTCTACCAATTAATTTTAACAACTTTTGTCTGAAACATTTTTTTATTTGCCTAATATTTTTTTGAAATATTTCAGGAAAACTTGGTAACATTTTCAACATTTAATATACGATATCTCGCTAACTATTCGTCGAAAGAAAAAATAGTATTAGACTTTATTTACTATCAAGAATATATTACTATAATAGTGCCCTAACTTTTGTTAATATAATAATTTTGAAATTTCCAAAAGTCGATTAGCTAACAAAAGTTAGGACATTATTATAATAATATATTCTTGATAGTAAATAAAGTAAAAAAGTCTAATACTATTTTTTCCTTCGACAAATAGTTAGCGAGATATCGTAAGTTAAATGTTGAAAAAGTTTTCCTGAAATATTTCAAAAAATATTAGGCGAATAAAAAAATGTTTCAGACAAAAGTTGTTAAAATTAATTGGTAAAAAAAGAAGATATGATAAAAAATTGGGCTTTCTGTTATAAAAAACTGACAATGCCATTCTCTTTCCCCTTCGAAATCATGGGACACGTGTTTTAGCTTCTTTTTAATATCCTTCATAATTTCCGAGATTCTTTACCTGTTACATTTGAAATTTAGCACCCTGTATATAAGTTTTATAATAATCTCGAAAAGAGAATAGATTCTTCTCTTGTGAGTGCACAAGAATGAGGTCTCTTCAACCTTTTCCGAACCTTTTCGACGATCTCCGTGTCATGAGTGCTCTCTCCCTCTCTCCCATCGTCTCACATCGATGACTCACCTTGACAGTCCTTCTCGCACTCGTCCGGCAGGTAATTGCGATGGTCGGCGTCGCAGATATCCAAGCAGGGCCTGCAGTGCGTGTCGTAAAGGCTGCAGTATTCCGAGACGCTGCAGCGCTTATTACCGCACTTGGCGCCAGGGGGTAGAAAATCGTCGGCGAGCGCGAGCCTCAGCAAGGACAGGCCGGCGACGGCTACCAGCAGCGGCGTCATCTTGTTTACGGTCACATCCGGGAGCATTTGGCCGAGCGACGTCGACGGCCGGTCGATGCACGGTCAGCTTCGTCGAAATCGTCGACCGGTTCGGCGCGACTCTCCTCTCTCTCTCTCTCTCTCTCTCTCTCTCTCTCTCTCTCTCTCTCTCTCTCTCTCTCTCTCTCCTTGGCCTTTCTCTCCGTCTCCCCGGCTGCTCCGAATCGTGAATTTAGGACACGATCGTGACTCGCTTACGATCCACGATCGACGCTGTCGGCGATCCTTAGCGGTGCTCGAACGGTACGCCTCGGGGAGGCACTATCGTAATGCTGCAAGCATTGCGAGAAGACTCGTGTGTTGCATTTCGTAAGCTTAACTCATCGTACAAGTATTGAATTCAGTTACCGAAGTCACCTCGACGACCAGGTGAATTTCCGATTAAATCATCGGGTAAAATTCCTCGGCAAGACAATACGTTCAATTCGATCTAACGAACGAATCGATGTAATAAGTAATCTCGCGAATAACGCGACGCGATCATCGGGACCCAAGAGGATTTGGGAGAATTGACGAAAGAGGCGCGCGACTGGTCCTGCAAAGCCGAAACTTAGGGAACTCTTCTCGCCCATATCGTCCAGCGCAATTCCCCTCTCATCTAACTGTTTCTTCGCACCACCACCTCCCTCCCCCCACCTCCCCCCCTCCGCCCTAGTTGGATGTTCTAACGTTTCGATCATGACTTGAAGTCGTGTTTTTCCTTAGCGGGAACATCGCGATCGTGAAAGCAGAAGGAACTCGAGAACGACCGACCGCCGCCGTTCACCATGTGGAGAGAGCCTCCGCGGAGGCTCCTCCTGTCGCAGCGCGGGGCGGCCGGTATTTTTTCCACGCCGCCCCGGTGCACTTCGAATTCGGAATGCGCGAACGGAATGTCTCGTTCCAACAGCCACATCCGCGTGGCGTCGCGCCTGCGGCGTGTCACGCATCACCTGTACGCTCGAACACCTGTGTTAACGTAAGCGAGCGCTGGTTGCTGGATGCAGCAAAATGGCCTCGGGTGCTGCGGCGACAACGGAGATACTTTCGCTCAACCAGCACGACCTCGTTTTACTGTCACGTCGCCGGGGGGAGGGCGTGCTTTATAAATAACTTTAATTCCTCGATTGCATCACGCTCCTCGCTCGCGCCCGCCGCTCGGCCGAATTCTCCTGCCGATATCCGAAAATTAATGACGAAAATTTAGCCTCGCGATGAATCGTCGATCAGCATCGGTGGGCCGTGTATGTTTCACGATTATTTCACCGAGTACTTTGACTTCGCTGATCATACACTCGTGAACAATTAATTTCGTCAATCGATCAAATTAATCGTAATTATATATATATATATATATATATATGCGACGACCCTGATTAATAATTTCTAGTTGCCGCGACTTGCCGATGATTTCGATTGCACGATTCTAGACAACCGAAGTGATCGAAATGAAAATCAAGTAAATTATGATTACATACAATAATTTCAACCGATTAAATTACTCACATACGATTATATGACGGGTATATGACGATTGATTAATTTTCATTGCAGATTTGCGAATGATTTTAGTCGATTGAAATTCTAAATGACTGGGATGATCAAAATTAAAATTGAATAAATCGAGGTTACGTATGAATATTGTTTCATCGATTACTTTAATCTCACTGATTGTATACCGATTGATACTTAATTTCACCAATCTACCAAATCTACCAAATCATTGCTAAATTATTGCTTGCATGACGCGATTGGTTAATTTCGATTATTGGTCTGTCGATCATCTCGGTCAATAAAGACTCTTAATCGTTTATTAATGCCCGTGTAAATCGTTTATTAATGCCGGTGTGTGATAACGCCATGGAGATTTGGATAGAAAAGGTCTCGTAAATTTCGAGAAGTCTTCAGAGTGAGTAACAGATGATGACTAATGAGATAAAGGAGACAGCGACGGACGAATACAAATGGTAACCACACACGTACGCAAAACGTACGCAAAACGATCGCACGTACGGCTATGAAATAAAATATAACGCGGATAATGACAGACTAATATTCTCAGGGTCGCAACGTATCGCATCTATGAGTCATTGCTCGTATCAACTAGCGAGCCAAACACTCACCTCGTGCCATTTTCTCCGCGTGTTCGGCGAACCTTTGCGAGACGAAGGAAAATCGGCTTATCGGTCTGCGATTCAAGTTGAATTGTCGCGAGTAATTCACTTCGACAACACCCGCGGTTTTCAGACCCGAGCGGCTTTTCATCGGTAGGCACGACGGGGAGCCGGCGCGGTTTGACCTACTTCTCGTGAAAGTTCTTCGAAGATTCTTTTCTCGAAAATTGCAAAGAATTAACGAAGATCTAATCGTGTCGTTGCTTTAGGATTACTAATTTTCTAGTACGAGTGACTTGCCCCTCTCTTTCATTCTTTTTTTTCCGCTTTCAAAATGTATCTCTCTGTTTATCGAGTCAAATGTATGTGTGTGTGTGTGTGTGTGAAAAATACCTCTGTTTATTGTGTCAGTGGTAGTAAAGCGTACAGAAAGCAACCGAAGGTGAAAAACCTCGAGAAGATAATAACGTGTGTTTGTATGTGTCAATTCGCTGTGAAGATCGCTCGATGATCCAACGACTTGTTTCGCACGAGGAGAAAAAATACGGTCGTGCTCGTCATTGCTTATAATTCTGTTCTGTCGCCGAAAATGAACGGAATTTCGTCCCCGAGATATTTAGGGAGCATAATTCAAACCGCTTGTAACTTTGCTCATTTCAAGTTCTTCGAATGGAACAAATTTCTCTTCCGAAAATTCGCGTACATTAATTATAATTTCGCAAATGACCATCTGTCGTTGAATCGTCGTGCTTATTTTGCCCTTTCGAGTAAAATTTCACTCTTCGACAAATTTAAAGAATACAATTAATTATTTATATACTTCGTGTGTTACTTATGACTGTTCCGTTCGTTTGGAACTTTCTCGAATCGAGCGGGGGGCGGGATTTCATCGTCGAAAATTCGCTTCCACGCTAATTCGCACGCGGTCGCGAAATAATTCACACTCCGCGAAGATACGTTATTAATCAACAGCACCGCGATGTAACGGTAACCGAGATAGCGGTAACGATCGGTACGGTCAGATTATGCTTCTCTCGATCCACATTATCAAGAAGCGCACGATCGCGTGCACCTCGCTTAACGTTACGCCAACGCTATTACGGCATCTCGCGCTTTCCACGACTCATCCGCGCTCGTTCGCCGGATAATATGCGTCTTCCGCGAAACGCGCGCGACCTTACCTTCCTTCGACGTGTTACGACGTGACGAATGTTGTTGAAAAAATCGACGTATTTGGAAATCGATTGTTGTCGAATCGAGGCTTGCGTCACTTTGTTATTCGGTGTCCCAGGGCCTCGCGCCTCAAAGAGGCGGGTTATATAATCGAGCGGCTGTCGATACGTGGGGGATTTGGAGAACGCTGACAATGTATCGCGCGACGCACAGCCGCGTGCAATTTGTGCCGCGGTACACCTGGTACCGCGAGGTATCACAATGCGTACGAGAGAGCACAATGCTTGGGGCTTGTCGCTCGACATGTCGCAACGAGTGAAAATCGAGCGCGTACGCACGGCGCGGCCTGCGGGAGTCGCCGTCGTTGCGAGGCGAGAGATGAAGGAAAGAACAAAGGAAAAGCGAATTTGGAGGTACATCGTCGAAATTGAGATCGAAGCCGTGCAGCTTCCGCCGAACTTTGTCTTCCGGCAAAGAGACGGGGGTGACTTTGTTTCTCTTCCAGCGGCGTATTCATATTCGCGCTCTTGCAAGTATAAACGTCTCGGGGAACGTCGGGCGCCGATTTGTTTCCAATTTTTTTCGAAATTTCTCAAGTTTTTTGTTCATTCTTCTTCTGCTCATTTCTTGTTCATTTCTTAGCAGATTTTCACGTTAAAATGAGCTTGTTTGTTGGACAGTGAGAGCCGAAAGATTTACCCAACGTCGAATGTAGCGTGAAACTGAACACTTTTTCAACAATGACGTCAGCCATATTAGATCCGCCATTTTGAATTTTACTTTTTAATGAATTTTAATAAATGGTACTGATTCACAATCGGCGATATGTGTGTGCAAGTTTCAACAAATCAGATATATATATTTTTAAGAAATGTTGCTTTAAATATGTATAAAATGGTGTACTTGTGCGAAACTTGAAAAATTTCGAAAAATTTCGAAGAAATTAATTCAAGCTGAAAATGATAACAGATTTCTTCATATTTTGACATAAAAAATAACTATAAAAAAATTGGAAATAAATCGGCGTCTGATATTCCCTGCGATCGCTTGTTAGAGTCCACGTGGAAGATCCTCTGATATGAATTTTCTAAAAAGATCGTAGGCTCTGTTCAAGAAATCTGTGTGACGATTTTACTTGTCAGCAGAAAAAGACCGAATTTTCACGATGTTACCTGCTTTAATTATGGACAAAGAATATATTCTTTCTCAAAGAATAAGAATGGCCAGGACCTCCGAGAGGGAAAAATTTCGGCGACATGATTCCTGAGATTCCTGACCACGACCTGTGTTGCTGAAAGCCTTGAGAATTTTCTACACGAAATGCCGCGGCGGGACAGCGTCTGCCCGGACAATTGGACGCAATTGTATCTCCGTAGTCTACAATTCTATCTGCATAACCATCGCGGTTGGTTACCTGCGGAACGATTGTCTCTTTGTGTGCCGCAAGTTGCTTTCCACTGCAACGCACAGGTATCGGGGCAGCTTTTTTATCGCGCGATAACGGCAAGCGTCGCTAATCGTGCCGCTACTCCGAGCGGCGTCGAGCCTCGACGGAGTCGAGGAAAGTCCGAGTCGAAGTCGTAGGTAGGCAGGCAGGCAGGCAGGCAGGCAGGTAGGTAGGTAGGTAGGCGCGCGCGGTCGAGGGCGCAGGAATGTCGTCCGACTGGTTCGCGAGGAGGCTACAAAGCTTTTACGTATATAGCGAGTCGCGCAGCCAAACGCGCGTCGATACAATGGCTGCGACTACGGCCGCAGCCCCGCGGCGCACGACCGTACGATTAAGCGCGAATTGAAGTTTGCCCTACACTTGAGGAAGAAGAAGCAGAAGGA